GGGGGGGGGGGGGGAGGGGGGCGGGTTATTTAGGCACATTTTCCTGTTTAATTTCTTATTAAAAGTTGTGATTTTCTGGTACAAGTAACCTTTGCTGTGCCATGGATATTCCTTGAAATTTTCTGGTTGAAATCATAGTGTTTTAGGTGGATAACTTTTGTTGCTGTGTGTAGGCAGGATATGTTGGAGAAGATGTGGAGTCTATATTATACAAACTTCTGATGGTATGTATCTGAGTACTGCCAGACGTTCCATTTCATATCCAATATATCATATCAATTAATGATTATGACCATGCAGGACACACTCTTTTTTTTTTTGTTGTTGTTGTGTTCATACCATGTATCGTGCAGCATATCCTTTTCGTTTGGTTTTCATAAATGAAAATATTTATGTTTCTCAATACTTAGGTCAGAACTGGTAACTATTTTCAGTTTTGCTTGGGTCCTTAATATTCTTCTGTCTTAATATTGTCCTCAATTTATTAAATGTCAGGCTGCTGACTATGATGTGGCAGCTGCGCAGCAGGGCATCGTTTACATTGATGAAGTTGATAAAATTACCAAGAAGGTTCTCCTCGGTTCTTTTATTCCTCTCTCCCTTCCCAGCTTCTATGGAAGGACTGATGTGGATTTTCTTTACTTGATAATTGTGTTGCATTTTTATGACGCAGGCAGAGAGCCTTAATATTAGCAGAGATGTGTCAGGAGAGGGTGTGCAGCAGGCATTATTAAAAATGCTAGAAGGAACGGTAAGTTTTGCATTTCATTGTAGGTCAACATTTATGATAATGTGCAGAAGCCAAATGTGACTTGTGATGCCATAGAAGCCATTGAGATGGTGAGACTGATAATCATGAGTGCTCAACTTTGATTAGAGCCCTATCACTAAAAAAAACTTTGGTTATAGCCTTTCTTCATTGTTCATATTTTTGGTTCTCTAGTTGTTTGCGGTGAGCTTATATGTGATATTTTTTTCACTCTGAATTAGATTGTCAACGTGCCTGAGAAGGGTGCACGAAAGCATCCCAGAGGTGAAAATATCCAGGTGAGTGCTGTACCTTTGATTTACAAAATTTGCTCTCCTAGGAAGGGAAAAAACAGAACAGTGGGCTTTTAGATGTGTTTCTCTGCTCTGGAAATTACCATTTTTCTATTATAATGGTACGAGCAAATAAGTACCACATGTTTAATTATGTGATCATGGTAGTTATTCTCTGTAGTTCTTGATTTGGCAAATGCCAGGGGTCCTGTTGTCATACATAATCTTTATAAAAAGCTTCTTTGCAGATCAACACTAAGGATATTCTTTTCATATGTGGGGGTGCCTTCATCGACTTGGAAAAAACAATCTCAGACAGGTTATCTGCATGTAATAGCTACTCCAGTTTACTCCTTACTGAGCTAATTATTTACACAAGTTTTTAACTTGAGAGAAGTTTTGCTTCAATTCAGGCGCCAAGATTCTTCTTTAGGGTTTGGGGCTCCAGTTCGTGCGAACATGAGGACAGGTGGTGTTACAGACGCCATTGTTACTTCTTCTCTGTTGGAGACCGTAAGTGCATACCACTCCTCAGTTTATAAGTAACACTATAACAACCCATGCTTGTGGCTTGTTTTTATCACTCTCTCCTAATTTTTCACTGAGGATTTATATTTTGACAGGTTGAGAGCAGTGATCTCATTGCATATGGGTTAATACCTGAATTTGTTGGTCGATTCCCTATCCTTGTCAGTTTGTCAGCCTTAACAGAAAACCAACTTGTTCAGGTATAGTTTTATTTTGGTTCTTCTTGTAACCATGTATTCTGCAAGATGGCCTTAACACAATTTATTTCTAGTGTCGGGTCAAGTTGCGAATTTTATTTGTAGCGCTAGCAGCACAGGTTGATTATAGTTTCAGTCTACATTCTTTTAGCTGCACAAGTTTTTTGCAATTTCAGTCCACATTCTCTTAATGTTATACTCGCAAGATTTGTGGAATAATATGCCTCTACTTTTGGAAAGTTCTGTACTCTGATATTTGGTAAGTAAACTAATATTTGGGAAGATACATGAGTTGATCACCTCTCTAAGCTTTCAAGTTTTGTTGGTCTTAATTGGTATAGTTTTTATCTGTCCAACTCAACATGACTTGAATACTGGCATTCGCAGGTCTTGACAGAGCCAAAAAATGCATTAGGAAAGCAGTATAGAAAGATGTTCCAAATGAATGATGTAAGTTATTTTGTGCTTTGCTTTCTTCTCGGATTCCAAGGGAATAATATTTTGTACTTTGTTTCCTCCTATTACGTTGGAAGGAGTTATTACTTCAGCTGACTGAGTTGAACACTGATATCTCGGAATAACGTGTCACCAGGTCAAGCTCCACTTCATAGAAAATGCCCTGAGATTAATAGCAAGGAAGGCAATGTCTAAGAACACTGGAGCACGGGGCTTGCGATCAATATTGGAGAATCTATTGATGGATGCTATGTATGAGGTATGTCGTTCCTTATTTCTCCACAACTTAAACAATACATTTGGCCGAAGAAAGGATAGCCTAATATGAAAGATGGCAAAACAAAAACCTAGGCTATAGATGTGAAGGTCGGCTCCAATCAATAAGAACTATACCATGTGCATGTGCAATTACCCAAAGAATGAAGGACGACGGTCGCAAGGAGTAGTCTTAAAAGACAGGAAACAAATAATAGAGGGGACTATCACCCAACCCGAACAATAGTCCAGTATTTGAGTCCCAACTTGAATCTGTTTTTCCACTGCACTAAGTGATTTGACAAACAATGTCTGATGCTTTTACCTGCCATACCATACCACCTTGGAGTGTATTGCAGATTCCTGATGTCAGAACAGGTGAGGATATAATTGATGCAGTCATCATTGATGAAGAATCCATTGGGTCGAACAGCCCCGGTTCTGGTGCCAAAATACTTTATGGACAGGGGGCATTCGATCGCTATCTTTCAGGACAAAAGGTAGAAGAGCTATATAATTGTTATTAACCACGTTAAAGGGTACTTATCCTTCTTGGTAATCTTATTAATATAATGCTGCCAATTTCGTTTTGCAGGCAACAAGAGTAAGAGAGCCAGAACCTGAAGGTGACGCAGATCTTCCTTCAGTCGTTGCCAGCAGCATGTAACCAACCATTTGTGGAAGTCTGTGTATTATAGCTTGAACGATGTACATATTACTAGTCTACATCAATTTATGATTCAACAATTGTCACACAGATTAACTGGTTCTCTACAAGTGTTCTATGCTTATAACATTTATTCCGAAGGGGGCTGTTCATCATTCAAGCATGTGACTGAGTCAACTATGTATTTTACTTCTGAAATCATTTCCAAGAGTTGTTTTAGTTGTTCTGAATCTTCTGAAATGGCTCTTAAGGACATCATATTTTATATCCTATGCATTATTACTCACTCCCTCACAGAAAGAAGAAAAGAGAAGGCATGAAGGTTCAGTAATGCTAGGCGGGGAAGACAAGCCATTTTACACCGCCGGGGAAAGCATAAAACTTAGTTGTGAATGCCCAATGATGATGTTAACATTGACCGTAACATCATTTTGTAGCTTCATTTTTTAGATTCTCGATATTTTTCTTATTATTTTGGATAGAAAATAATGATTCTAGTAAAATTACCTTTTTAGTCTTGAGAGTTTTAGTTCTTGTCGCCCTCAAAATAAGTATAGATTTAAATGGATGGATATCCCTTTTCCTAAAAATTTGAATGCTAAAAATGTAATTTTTTTCACAATTGTATTGACTTTGAATTGGCTTTAATTTAATTAAGTCAAAATAGCTCTAAAGTATTATTAATAAATAGTCTGTTTTGATATGAAAGTTTATAGTTTAAATTGTTGCCGAGTTTTTAGTTATTTTCCCAAGTAGTTTCAAATCAATTTCTCATTTTTTTAAAAAATGGGATATTGATTTAATTCACTCGTTAATCCACCCCTTTTTCTCTTCTCTGCCTTCTTTCGGACTTCCGAGAGAAAATTTGCACCAACTGGTGAGATTTTGAAGAGGGGAAGCCCTGAAATTTTCTGAGATCTTGATCGATTCTTGCTTTGGATAAGTGGGGTTGTCTTCAATTCCGCAGATTTTGCATTCTGTAAATGGATTTGGATAGTATTGAGTGTGTATCATCTTCAGATGGTCTCGATGAGGATGAGATCCATCTGCATCACACTCTTCATCCTTATTCCCATTCTCATCATCATCCAGAGTTGTCATCGACGAAACCTCGTAATGGAAGCAACAATAGTGCTATCACAGGCCCCACTGCGACTGCGCCGGCCACTAGCGTCCATGAATTGCTCGAGTGCCCTGTCTGCACCAATTCTATGTACCCACCCATCCATCAGGTTTGTCTTTGTTGCCCTAATTACTTACAGAATGGAGATTCTTTGGCTCTCCACCCTGGGGGGAGAGAGGGAGAGAAGGCTGATTTGATTTTCGATTTACGAGGGTGGGGAAGGGTTTTTATTATTATCTTTAAAATAAATGTTTAAGGTTGGTTTTTTTGACGACATACTTCCCTTTGATTTATCATTTCCCTGCTGAGTTTTTTATTTAAGGTTGATCGTTCAATGTCTGCTGGAAGTTTGGGGATGTGATTGTGAACTGTTTTGGATGGATCTTGTTATCAAGTGGTAAAGTGTTAGATATGAACTCTAGAACTAGATTACATTGAAATATGCCGAGTATTTTGGGTTGATGTATATTGTATTATATTGTAACCATAGAGCATAAACCATCCATCTCTCTTACTGCTTAAGGTTTTCTAACATCAGGCTATATAATTGAGATGAGATTATTACTTGTCCTATTTGTGCTTGAAAGCCTTTGCTAATAGCAGAAGATGCTGGTTGTTTCAAACTACTCTCTAAGAGGGTTTTTGGATTTTGTTATGAACATAATTTTGACTGGCTGATGAAACTTTAGTTTCCCATTGCTTTCTTCGAATATTATTTCCCATCATTGCAGCTATCTCAATCTTTCTTCCTGTATCATTGGCAGAATTCGAGTTGGTGCCATCAGGATGGTGATAGGTGTTAAGATTTAAGAAGATGCTTGTTTTATTCCAATTTTATCTTAAATCATTCAATACTTTTCATAAATGTATATTTTGTTGTTGATATATGTCCAATGGTTGTATGTAACGAGGGTTAACATGTATGACCAATTAAAATGTTGCAGTGCCACAATGGACATACATTATGTTCTACATGTAAAACACGGGTTCATAATCGTTGCCCTACTTGTAGACAAGAGCTTGGAGATATTAGGTGCTTAGCACTGGAGAAGGTGGCGGAGTCACTCGAATTGCCTTGCAAGTATTATTCCTTGGGATGCCCCGAGATATTTCCATACTACAGTAAACTTAAGCATGAGGCTTTGTGCAACTTCAGACCATACAATTGCCCATATGCCGGGTCGGAATGCTCTGCTGTTGGAGATATTCCTTTCCTTGTTGCTCATCTGAGGGATGACCACAAGGTGGACATGCACAGTGGATGCACATTCAACCATCGCTATGTGAAATCCAATCCAAGGGAAGTGGAGAATGCCACTTGGATGCTTACTGTAAGTCTGATGCACTTGACCTTAATTCTTAAGTAACTTTCTTTTTCTTTGGCTGAACTTGTTTTATCATACATGAATTGCACTCCTTACATATGATATAAATACAAGCACATGTGAGCACATGTCATGTGTGTCTTCGTATGTATGAGTGCAGGATTTCAGACTCAATTTAAACCACCAGGGAGATTAAATAAGGATTCCTATAGTCAACAACAATAGATGTATGATGAAAAAAAATCATTGATATTAGATGGTCTGCTGCATGTTTTAAGTTTGATCAACCATTGAAGATGCTTCATAAGTTTTTCTGATGGTGTGAAAGGGTATTGCTGCAAGTCAGTGACAAGTTTGGCAATCAATCATTTTCTTCAATTTTATATAACTAGTACCTTAACTGATTAACTTCTTGCCGTTTTCCAGTGGCAAATGGATGCGATGCAATAATATAAAAGTTTAGTTGAAATATATAGGGATCAATAGAACCTTTTTTTATTTAATATTTCCAATTTCCCTTTTTCTCCAAGTGAAGGTTTTATGGTTTCACGGTTCGAGTTTTTTCGTGAAGTTTATTGCCGTATCCGTTTAGCTGAAAGATTGGTAACTGGATGCTGAACTACCCATAAATGCCCTATTTTGCATTTAATCAAATGACTTCAGGCCGGAGTGAGACGTTCTGCTGGACATTTATTGGGTCTACTCCAAATTTTAGTTTGATCCTGTTTCTTGTGGCTTGCTCTGTCACATTTTGCAGGTGTTCAATTGTTTTGGTCAATATTTCTGCCTTCACTTTGAAGCCTTTCAGCTTGGCATGGCTCCAGTCTATATGGCTTTCCTTCGTTTCATGGGTGATGAGAATGAGGCTCGAACCTACAGCTACAGTCTTGAGGTTGGTGGATACGGTCGAAAACTAATATGGGAAGGCACGCCACGAAGTATTAGAGATAGTCATCGAAAAGTGAGGGACAGCCATGATGGGCTAATCATTCAAAGAAATATGGCTCTATTCTTCTCTGGTGGGGATAGGAAGGAACTGAAGCTAAGAGTTACAGGAAGGATATGGAAGGAACAAAACCCAGATGCTGGGGTCTGCATACCGAACCTGTGTAGCTGAGATGACAAGTATTCTATCTTCGTTCTCAAGGGCCTACGGTTTTGTGTGTTGTGGAGCTACTGTGCTTTGTACCTATTCTCTGTTACCTTTGCTGGTATATTGTAATGGATGATTTGTTAAATAGAAGTCACATTGATAATTATTAATCTTCCAAAGAAGGATGCTTTCTGAGGTGTAATGGATGTTTGCTTTGCAACTCTATAGAGAAGTGGAATATCAACACAATTGCCTTGCCTTAACAACTTTGATTACGGTAAAACAAAGGGCAGCAGCCCTAGCATTTTGTCGTGTCTATGTGGCGTCACCCTATTTTGTCTTAGCAGTTTATTTTTGTATGGTAAAAGTTGATGGTCAACAGGAAAGCATTCGAACTGATAAGAAAACAAGCTCTTTTCTTCTCTGGTGGGGACAGAAAGGAACTGAAGCTGAGAGTTACAGGAAGGATATGGAAGGAACAGAACCACAAGATGTTTGCCAAAGTTGTAACATTCAGCTTACTTGTACGAGGATCTGCGCGTGCTACTTTTGCCACCCAACATAAGAGACTACTTAATGGGTAAAGATAAAGGGGGTTCTGCTAGGAACACACGAATGATTGCGCATTGAATAAGTTTATGGACGTTTCCCTCTGGAAGTTGAAGCTCCGAGAGATTACATCAGAAGCAAAAATGTTTCAGATCCAAGATTCAATTTAGAACTTCATTGTCAAAAGATGCACGTCAATAGGTTATAAATTTTCTTATTGTTGTAAAGCTTTCTCATACCTAATGGATTAATAAGATAAACAGAAAACGGATCACATCCATCCCATGCAATGTAGCTAGCAACAAATAATAGAAAGTACACAAGAAACAAAAAGCAGTTCACCCATGAAAGTAGCTACAAACAATAGAAAGCTAATGTAATGTAAGCTTTCACCAGTTGCAAGGATATCTGTAACTGTTTAATTCTCGCCTCTCGGTACCTTTTCTTCTACTGTGCCACTTCAAGGATTCGATTCCGCGAGTTCAGTTTTACCACTGTCTTCTTGACCAGATTGCATTTCGTTCACTGCAGATTCTTTCTCACCTTCCTTGTTCCCAAACAACTTGGATGACAGTAAAGAAGAGACCGCAGCTTTTGCACTTCTTTTCTGTGCCTCTGCTGCCTCAGCCTCCTTTGCCTTCGCTTCAGCTTTCACTCTTTCTTTCTCTTCCATTAGTTTACCTAAATCTCCTTCCCTCTCTTCCTTCCTCAGCTCACCTCTGACAAACTCCTGCAACTCTTCAGAAAATTCAATCCCATCATCATCCAGAAGAGTATCAACCACATTTAGCATTTCATCCAGCTGCCCCGATTCACTTAACGCCTTCATTATAAACTGATAGCTCGAGGCATCCATTTTTAACTTCTTTACCATCAAGTCAAAGAAAGCCTTTGCCTCGTTAATCTTCCCCAATTTAACCAGCTCATCCACTAATCTATTGTAAACTGCTATATTCGGTCTAAGTCCGGACTCAACCATTTTTCTAAAGTATCCAGCTGCATCATCTGCCCTGTTCGCTTTAAAGCAAGAATCCATCAACAAACCGTAAGTAAACTCGTCAGGGTTAACTCCCTTGTCGCCCATTGTTCCATAAAGCTCCTCAGCTTCGGCCAACATTCCATTATTACATAATTGTTCGATCAAATTATT